CAGGGGAAAGGAAAGAAGGGAAAGGAAAAAATGATGAGAAATGGAAAAAATGGAAATAAAGTCTTTGTAAATAGGGAAGGGTGGAGGGAATGAAGAGGGCTAGGATTGGGGGAAAAATAAGAACCAAGATGCATTATGTAAAGGTACAACTCCCAATGAGAAATGTAATTGTGCTGTATACCTAAAATGTACCAATAAAAGAATTTAATACAAAAAAAAATTAAAAGAATGAATTGAGTACCAAAAAGGAGACATCCATCCTCCCAAGCCTTTGCCTGGTTCTGGAGAGGGCTCAGGCATCTCACAAAATCACTAGCCTGATAAGGAACCATGAGATCCTGGCCCTAGGGCTTAACTCTATAGGGACTGATCCCAGGCTACGATGCCAACTTGACACCTACCTTCCTTTACTTCCCCAAGCAGATACTCCATCTTGTTCTATGGTTCAAAGAACAGAATGGGCAAATCCATTAGTGGGACCCTAATGTCCCAGAATCCACAGTATAAAGCTGGGTTACCTAAGTCTCATAATGGCTAGAGACCCTCACATCTCAGGTACATGCCATTGACCCACCTTACAACTGGCAGTTATATAGGCCCAAACTCACATCTTCCTTATAAATAGGTCTCTGCCTAGGGACAGGGTTGCTCCAGAGGCTCCATCCATGAGCACTGACCTAGGGATTCTGGCCTCTGGCTTCTGCCTGGTTCCTCTGGGATGTCACTGAGTTCCAAGACAAAGTCCTGCACTTAACTTTCCTGTCCCACCCCAAGTCCTTCACGCTATGCTGCCCAAGGCTGGGGCAGTACTTTGGCAACTGACCAATGAGTCCAAAGGTTCAATCTGTGGACACATGCCAAACAGAAGCAGCAAGTCTGAGGTCTAAATTCCTTCTCACTACTTCAAGAATCTCTCCATGTTATAGAGTTGTGGAAGGGGCAGAAGGCAATTTTTTTTTCCTAATGCTAAAATCACTGATTTCTCACTTGTGAAGGTAGCCTGCTGTTCAAACTAACATTTCTATAGGAAGCTAATAACTGGAACCTCAACAGCCATCTTGTACCAATCTACACTTTGAAGTGCTGAGGTTTTCAAACTTGCCTACACATCTAATTACCTTGACTTAAAGCACTGTCAGTTGTATCAAACCTAGAGTGCACTAAATTTCCAAAGGGCTAATCAGTACCAGGGAGTAGTCTACACAATTTGAGCTTGGCCCTTGCTGGCTGCCACTTCTATGATTGAGGCTTCTGACTTGGTGTTTTTGGCATTAGCTTCTCCTGCTGCTGCAGGTTGACCTTACATTCTAGAGCGAACATCAGAGACCCATTCTATAGCATCATTCTTTAAAACGTCATGCCACATATAACTTTCACTCTTCTCACCACTGAGCACACTTAAGGGATTCCCCTGGACTTCCCAAAGTTACGTTGAACCTGGAAAGGGAGGTTTCCTCTGTAAGTAACATATTTTTCTTATATGTAATACCAAATGTGGAAGAGGGCAACTGCTGACACTGGCTCAACAGCTCAATGTCAGAATTCTAGGCTGGCTTTATTAATCTACCCAAATTTTATGGTGACAAGATGACTACAGCAGATTTTATCACACAACCATATTCAAAGGTAAGCACCAGGGTGTGGCACAAGAATTTCTTTCAGAAACACCTTATGAAACCCTCTTGCTACCACCCCCCTTTGTATTTCATTGTTCAGATATGGTCACATGCCTATCCTTAAACCAAGAGCAAGGGCAGATTTTTTAAGCTTAAGGATCCATACAAGGAACTCAAAGGTTCTATTAGAACCTGATGTTTGGATAGGCATGAAATTGTGCCTGCCATGGCACTTTTCTATCTTTGGCCAGAGCAATCCTCAGAGGACCCTGATGTACACAGGCTTCCCTAGAAGCACTGAAGTTTTAAGTTACACCCTTGTGAAAGAAATGCAAACCTCCCACCCCCTAACTCCTGTACTCCCCTAATTCATCTAGGTTGCATCACCACACCCACCCTTGAAATAATCTACACAGGGACCTTATCCCCAGCACCCACCCAAATCTGTAATCCCATTTTTTCCTAAGTGCTCACTGGCAATACACATATGGCAAAACAGTAAATTGTGTAATACACTAATTTTCAATGCAATAGGCATACCATATTGATGCAAAAATCCCTAAAATCATTTTTACAAAGTATCTGCTTTTGTCAATTTCCACACACACACACAACATGGCATTCACTGTTACGTCCTTCCATTCATGGGGCAATGAACTAAACCGCTAATGGTGAAAGGACTTCTAAAAAAAGAAAACTGTCGCATTACAGTATAACTCTGTAGTCAAGACACTGATAGTAAAGGAGATGCTCTGTCAGTGCAGGCAAGGAACACTCACTGTACCTTGCTGTGAACCTAAAAATTAAATTTTAAAAATGTTTTGAGTATTTCTATTTCTGTACTAAGCCTTTGCTGTAGATAATACATACATGGCCCAAATAGAGTGGGAGTTTTCTAACCAGCTCTGTTTCTTTCCACATTGTTAAAAACACGGCCCCCCATACTCCTTTCTAAATCTCACAACTGCATTAAGAATTTCTCAGGGCTACGAGTAACCAACTGAGGCCACCTGTTACTACTGGCAGGGGTTAAATAGAGCCTGTTGGTTATCTTTACATCATTGCTTTTCCCCTAACATCCACTACTAGAAATAGATACTTGTATTATTTCCCTGGTCTGCAAGGACTGTTTCCACCCAGCCTTTCTGTAGCCTAGTCTAGAGTTCCAATGGGTAACATGTCACTAGGTGGTATTTTTTTTTTTTTTTGGTACCAAGAATTGAACTCGGGTCCTTGCACTTGCGCAGCAGGCGGGGAAACCAGAGCTAAATCCCTGGCACTAGGTGGCATTTTTGAGAAAAAAAAAATTTGTTTTGCATGGCAGTGGGGATTGAAAACAGGACCTTGTACATGCTAGGCAAACACCCTGCCACTAAGCTACATAGTTGACCCTGAGAAAATTCTTTACATGGGTGTACATGTGCCTTCTGTCTTTTCCCAAGAATGGCAGTCATATTATAACAAAGGTGACTCAGAATGAAACCACTTGCTAGATGGGAAGAAAAACTACACTATGTTTGAAGCCCCTATGATCTACAGCATTTTCCTGCTGTTACTAGGAATTCAGTGCTGCTACTCCAGACCCACAATTGTACTCCGGAAAAAATAATTCTGGATCAAAAGTTATTAGTTTCAAATAGAATTTCAGAATCACAAGGAGTTGAATTCAACAGATGCTTCTATTAAGTCAGCCAATTAACCAGCCAATATTGCTGTTGACAACCTTCAACTGAAAAAAAAAAAGCCTCTGTTGTTCTCCCAGGTTTCCCCTCAAGATTCCAACAGTCGAAATACAATGTGGGAGAAGACAACACCCAAGCAATTAAGCTAAATACAGGAAAAATGAAGACCCAAATACTAATAAAGGAAAATGATTAGATACAGAAATCATACTTTTATAACAAACTTGCAGAAAATTTGGAATGCGGATGTAAAAATGATCCCTAATCTTAAATACTATTCTCATTTCTTTGCTGTTCATATATTGAATTGGTTTGAAATTCTACAGAGATCTTTAAATCTTTGAATTTTAAATAAATGTGGAAAGTGCTTAAGGAGTCATATCCAACTACATCAACTGACAACTATCTTTGGGCTACTGACTCTCATACCCTAGACTTAACACCATACCTAAGATGGTAAATGCTAGAATCAGAACACGCAATTCTGTGTGCAAAGTTAACACAAGTGTTTACAAAACTGAAAGTGCTAGGTACTGCTTTAGTTACCTTAATACACACCTGTGAATATTATAATCATGAAATTACAAACAAAAAATAAAATGAAGCACTTTAACAGATCTTTATTAACTCTGTAGGGATATAGAGGAGGAATAATTTCAAAAACACAAAGTTTTTAAGTACATATTTTTATTGAAAAGATGTATAAATCTAGCAGATTATAATAACTCCACTATTCTGATAATCATTTTCATTCAAGGACTAGAAGAGACTTGCACACATTAAACAGATTTGATCACAGGGTTACAAACCACAATGAGGAGTTCAATCCAGTTACTGATTCCCATACCCTGAGAAACTGCCTTAAATTTTAAATCCAGAAGACAAAATCCCAAAGATTTCATAAGATCTACAAATATAATGAAGAGCAAAATATTCCAATAGTTTTACAAAATGCTTTTTATAATGCAGAAACATATAGAAAAGGGAATAAGTGAGTTTCTAGGACACACACAGAGAAAAAACTAAGCACAAAACAAAAAAACTGCTTTTCCAAAAACCTCCCAATGACCCAAAGTGAGACACACAAACAACTTTTTTGGGAGGAAGAGGGTCTTTTTGAGACAGGATCTGGCTATATAGTTTAGGCTGGCCTCAAACTTTCATCGATCCTCCTGCCTCAGCCTCCCACGTGCTAGGATCACAGGCTTGTGCCACCACACCGGACTACATAAACAACACCTAACTATACTTCAAGAGCCTCAAATCTCATTAACTGTCACTGACATTGGCACCACGCTAATTATATCAGTAATGCAAACATTGCTGTCTTTGGCATCCCTGCAATGTTTTTATTTAGAAGAAAACCTACAGAAAGAACTCTGCTTACACCACAGCAAGGTAGCAAAGAAAACAGGGTACCGTGGAATAATAAGGCCCTAAGAAAGGCAGCAGGTCGTATAGTTACCTCCTTGTGGGCAAAATCCCTGCCCTAAAACTATGCAACCTACTACCTCTTCCTAGGAACCCACTGTATTCTTGCTGTTCTTCTACTTGGCAGATTCACTTCAAAATAACCTGTTAAGTTAGGCCATATTTGAGTTTTGTTTCAAATTCAACTAGTCAGAACTTTCGCTGATGCTTTCAAAGCTATTTGCTATATGACCTTGGCATAAAGCCTCAAAAATATTTTCTTAAAAACCTCAAGTTACAAAGGGACAAGAAAGTAATTATATCAGAGGATGCAAACCAGTAACATAATACTCAGCCCACCAACTACTAGTTTTGTTTAAAACATTTAATTACCAAAACTCAAATGCGAGATTTCATAAAATCTCCAGCCTCTTGATAAAACTGGAAAGTTAGCTGAAACTATATATAAATCCTGTTTGCTACTTATCAACTGGAACAAATTAAACTTAATGTCTGTCCCATTTTAGGGTCAAATGTTTCGGGGTTACATTCAGTTCTTCGGCCTGTTAAAGTATTTCAAAATTTCACCCTTAGTTTATAGAAAACAAAATCAAATTCTGATCACAATTTTGTCACTATTAAAAACAAGCTTTTTAGAGACTATTACGTTCTCCTTAATTATCTTATATGTATTTTCATAAAATGTTAAGTTCCACACAATTTGATCCACTCAGTCTATTTGGCTAGCAAGTAGCCCTTATGTTAATAGATGAAATAAACTTTTTCTTTTTTTTTTTTGGTACCGGGGATCCAACTAGGGTCTCCTTGCGCTTGCAAGGCAGGCGACGGAACCACTGGGCTAAATCCCCGGCCCGAAATAAACTTTTTCCATATAAGTTTCCTAGTGGAGAGTAGAAAATAACCATGTTTAGGAGACATGTTCAGAAAAAACACAAAATACCAAGACTTTTCAGGTGAGTTATGCATACTGCCAAAGAATTCCCCACACATTTCTGTTCTTCTTTCACACCAAAAGACAATGAATGTCAAGTTTTCCCCAGTGTTTATACATCCAATTTAGGACCACCAATTCTTCCTCTATTATGTCAAGGTTGAAGTAAAAAAAAAAAAAAATCTGGCCCAGGATAAATAATCTAAGTTAGACCTATCCAAGCGAGTTTTGTGTTTTCTGTAAAATTTCTGCTGCCAATGGCATTACACTGTGACTCTGAGATATTTAAGATTCAGAAATAAATGGAAGAGGTGACTTTTCCTTTACCTCCACATTTTGCCTCTTTTCTCTTGCATCCAAAATATGTAGTTTAAACAAGCACTTTAAATAGGGAGCTTTCGCCCTTGTTTAGCTATAGCGTCTATATGGTTTGAGCACTGAAAGAAAGCTGAAACACGGGCCTTCATGGTTGCTAAAATTTAAGTAGACTCATCTCATATTTAAAGGAATAGATAATGCATTTCATGTGTTAGTTTCAGGGGATCCTCCTTTGTGAAGGACCACTTTTAAGTTTTCTTAGCAACTTACCAGTGAGCAAAAGTAAAACCCACAGCTTACCTCACCTGCTCCAGGCTGGCAAGTAAAGCCTGCCCAAATCTGCACACCAATGAAGCAGTGCTTCCGGCATTCTCTGATACCACTCAAAACCATGGTAGGAATGGATAATCAACTGGACTCAAATTTAGCTGAAACAGTGACCTTCCAGTTGGTATGTACCTTTACTACCCAAGATGTCACCCTGGACATGTGCTATCAGAATATATGGCAGTGCACCGGTTCATAATTCCAAAAGGGCCTAGTCTTCTACTAATATTTCCTGAAAGGTACTTACTTTCTCCAAAATTTTTGCTTTAATTTTCAAATTTCTGAAATATATATATACACCACATGTGAAAATTAAAACTTAAGATCAGTTTTTACTGCATTCTACTTGGAGAGAAACTTAACAACTAATAACTGTAAACACAAAAGAATGTCAAAATGAATTCATCTGAATTTTAATTATCACCTAGATAAAAATCAAAATAATGCAGCAAGTCTACTCCTCAGGGAAGGCAATAGATTGTATAGTTATCTCCTGACCAGGGTAAAATCACTACCCCACAACTATACAATCTACTACCTCACTCTGATAGAGCAATCTTTTCTTCTGGAATAATGGAAAACACAATCTCAAAAGAAAATTTCAACGAAAGTAAATTTTAACCTCAAACCTTCAACATCAATTTAAAAAACTCCACAAAAATGAAGACAATAAGCAGAAAGTATCCCTAACTCCCATTCAGTGTACCTGAAGATTTTTTTTTTAGTCTCTAAAACAACTTGCATACTGTAAGCAAAAGCCTTTTTAACAAGTTTATCTTAAACACCGAACAGTTACTAACTTTCCATAAGGCTGCCTGGATGTAGACTTTTCCATCACCTTAGGAAAGACAGTAGATTGTATAGTTATCTCCCAGTGGTGGGTGTGACCCTAAAACTATACAACCTACTACCTCATCCCACAGTGAAGAGAACTTCAAGGATGAATGTGAAAAAGGAAAAACAGCTGAGTACCACAGGAAGGCCTTCTCCTCAGTAATCCCGGTTCCCTGAGGAATAAAGAGAGAAAAGGAGTATTAGACCACTTCAATTTCTTAATTTGACTATGAACTTTGAGCATTTTGCTACATGGACAAACTATTCTATTATTTTCATTTCTTGTATTTTGTTAGTATTACTTAAAATGTTTGATTATCAGAACCCATTTCTAGTAAAACTTACCAGATTCAAAATCATCCTTTTTACCACAATCTTGTACTACAGATTAAGCATCCCTAATATAAATATCAAAGCTTCTTGAATGCTAACCGGACACCGTAAGTGGAAAATTTCATACTTGACTTCATGTGGTGGGTAGCAGTCAAAACACAGGCCCAACTAAAACACTGTAAAATTACCTTCAAGTGCATTATGAGATGTACATAAAACAAATGAATTGTGTTTAGACTTGGGTCCCATTCACAAGGTCCCTAATTATATATGCAAACAGCATAAAATTCAAAAAACTTCTAATGCTAAGCAGTTCAGATAAAGGATATTTAACTTTTGTTTCCTTATTTACTCCAATGAAAATTCATTAAATCACTATCCTTCCTTGAGAAACAAAAATATTACAAAGCAACATAACCTCTAATACTATCCAAATGGTCTTAACTAGCAAAAAATAAATAAATAATTAAATCAATTAGACCAGAGTCAGAGACAGGATCTTTCCTTCATACTACAAGGGTGTTGTAGGGATAAAGTTCACAAAGTCCAAGATATTTAACACATTGGTACAGTACTCTCTGACCTATGCAAAATGACCAATATAGTTTTAAAATTAAAATCTTATCCCCTCAATTAATCTACACCATACCAATTTACAGGCTCCATACTGAAAAAGCAGCTACTAGGAAGATTTAAGACAGGCAGTAAATACTGAATAAATTTTTAAAAACCCACTTTTTCCAGCAAAACGCTGAGACAATACATAATCACACAGACAAAACAATGATCCCTACTCCATAGTACAGTCAAAAGTAACTTAAATAACAAAAGACAAAAAATTTTTTAATAGATGCTTTAAAGGAGATACAGCTTAAACACAAAAAGCCAGTAAGCTCATCAAGAAACTAAATATGAGGGAAATGCAAACTAAAATTACATCCACTAGGATTGCTAATAATAAAGACAATAACAAGTACCATTAAGAATGTGTACAGTTCTGCTGCCAGCCTTGCAAGCACAAGGTCCCAAGTTCGATCCCCAGGACAAAAAAAGAATGTGTACAAACTGAAATTCTACAGAGTGCTGGAGAGAATTGTGAAATGATACAGCTGTTTTAGATTAACAGTTCATCAAAAAGTTAAACAGTCACCAAGTGTGGTCTAAGAAATAGACACCCAGTCTTCACTTCCAACAGGAATTCCTGGGATACGGCTAAAACCTTCCCAATCTCCCAAGAGAAGAGTGTCTTGTAATGCCAATGAGATGACTAGAGACTGCAGGCATCCCTAGGTAGCTTCACAATGGGAGCTGGTCACCAAAGATCAAGAAATGACTTGAGGGATGGAACTTTCAGCCTCACCTCTCAAACTCCAGGGAGGGGAGAAGGACGGGAAAGCCAACCACCAACGGCCAGTGATATAATCAATCATATCTAAGTAATGAAACCTCCATAAAAATCCACAAATGACAGGGTTCAAAGATCTTTAAGTTGACAAACACATCTTTGTGCCAGGAGGATGACACATCAACTCCACAGGGATGGAGCTCTTGTGCTCAGAATCTTTCTGAACCTCACTTTTCAGTTGTCTGTTCATCTGTACCCTTTATAAGCTGCTAATGATACATAAAGTGTATTCCTGAGTTCTGTGGTAGCAAATTATAAAGCCTGAGGGAGCTGAGAGAAGCTACTGAATTTACAGCTGCTGGTCACAAGTTTAAGTTGTACCTTAAGAAGAAAAATTGACATCCACTGAATCTGTGCTAACTCTAAGTAGTGTCAGAAAATAGCTCAGAGTACATCCTGGCAATTCCAATCCTAACACTATATACTCAAAAGAGAACTGAACCAAGGTTCAAATCCTGCCCCCATTCACTGCCACTGAAAGCCTGTACAAGGAATTTAGCCTTTCAAGCCCTTCAGCTTCCCTCATTATAGTGTCAACACACTGGACACAACAATCTGAAAAAGGAGAAAGATCTGGCACACATCCAACATATGCAAGGCCCCATTTTCATCTTCTGTAGGAGAGCTGACACTAAGAAATTTAATAATTTGCCTCCAATTCAAGGAGATAGCAATGAGTCTCCAAACATACTAGATTTTACCTCTAAGCCCATTTCAATTCTGTAAGGCCAAGATGGCTTAAGATATAAACTTGCAGACAAATGCCCCTAAAAAGTCAAAACATTATAAGCCAAAATCTTTTTCTCATTAAAACATGTATGAGAGGTAGGCCTGGTTGTATCTAAAATCCCAGCAATCTGGGAGGCTGAGTCAGGAGGACTGCAAGTTGGAACACAGCCTTGGAAACTTAGACAAGACCCTGTTTCAAAATTTAAAAGAAAGGGCTGGATACACAGCTCAATGTGAAGGCCGGGCTCAATCCCCAGTACTATCAAAACAAGATGTAGTTCGGTGGTACAACACCCGCCTACATGTGCACCCCCCCCCCAAAAGCATGTTTCAATCTTGATGTGTGCACTATGCTTACCTTATACTATTTTTCTCAATCCAACAGGTACCACAACAAGTAATTTACATAGCAAAAGGTATTGACACAGTTCGCAATTTTTTGCAAAGTATACACAAAAATAACCCAAATTAAATGTTTATGCGGGAGGGACACATCTGCTGTATAGGGTCAACTATCCCTCAGGGCAGTTATTTCCCCCTTGTTGCAATCCAGAGCAATAAAAATATATTTTAGTATAGACATGACATACCCATATGTATACATCAATACTAACACCAGAATATTGAATCCTGGCTCTCCATTTAGTCTTTAGACCTATCATGTAATCTCTAGGCCTCTGCTTACATTCCTAGTTCTACTGTCTAACAAAAACTTACCTTTTAGATAATTCATAGCAACTAAAGCCCTTTTCATCCACTTTCTATCCTTATACACATTCTGCCTGAATTTGTAGATGGAACTACTCTCCCATTAAAACTATGGCAAAGGGGCAGGGATTTACCTCAGTGGTTCTGTCACCTGTCTTGCAGGTGCAAAGTTCCCAAGTTCAATCCCCGGTACCAAACACAAACAAAAAAACCTATGGCAATTAAAAATCAAAATTCAACTTACACAAAATGTATAAGAAACCTATTTCAATTTAGTCTTCCAGGGTAGAAAAGAGGTTTTAAGGGCACTAGCTTTGGGGCCAAACAGTCACTTAATAGCTATATTCTAAGGATCCTCTCATTTTCAACTGGAGTACTAGAACATTCATACCACATGAGGTTATAATGAGTATTGGGAATACTGTATATGCAAAACAACTTAATGATCCCAAAGTAAAGTACTCATCAAAGGGCAACTGTTGTTGCTAAATTAATTTGGGAAAAATGTCCCTCCTGAGTATAAAAAATATTTATTTTAAAATATGCTATTAAAGAGGAAAACCCACCCATTAATTATGAATAAACTTGTCTATATTTGTATTTACATTAAATGAGGTTGCATTTATACTAAGTAAGGTTTCATAAGGAAGTCTGCAAAATTCACATTCCTAAATGATTTTTGCAGCCCAACCCTGTTTAGCACCGGGTCTTCACTACATAACCAGCCCTTTTTAAGTTTTTTAAAATTGTGAGACACTGTCTCACTAAATCCCTAACTTGTCTAGGCTGGGATGGAACTAGGGCTCCTCCTGCCTCTTATCTCCTCCAGAGCTGGGATTATACGCATGTACCACTATACCCGGCTGCAGCTAATTTTTTAATTGACAAACTGTATTTTTATACAAGTTTTGAAATATGTATCCATTATGAAATGGCTAAATCAAGTTAATTATCCTATTACCTACTTCACATACTTATTTTTGTGTGTGGTGAAAACACTTCAGGACATCTTCCTAATTTTAACATACTTTAAAAAATTACTCCCAGTGTGCTGGAATTACAGGCACAGGCCACTACTCCTGGCTAGTCAAGAAAAAAGTTTTATTTCTAAAAACTCTTATTCACATTTTATCCTATGGATCTATGAATTTCACTTTAGCCAAACTTTCCTATAAGTAAACTGAACTATTTCTCCAAGTCTCACCATTTAATTTGACTTGCTGATTATCAAACACAAATCAAAACTAGAACAATGGCTACCTCATAAAGATCTCCTTCAAATATTCAAATGAATATCAACAAAATAATCTGCTGCTGACGCTTGCTTAATATAATACTATTAAGTAAACTCTCCAATAGTATTTTGCATCCTTTGACAGAGTCTGTGCAGTGTTCTAACAATCAGAAGTTAACGATGTGTAACTGACAAGATAATGGATTTAGATTCATAACTAAGTTTCTCTAATGAAACAACCCAATTCTAAAATTTCAGGGTTTTTTCCCAGTACCGGGAATCAAACTCAGGACCTTGCACTTGCCAGGCAGGTGAGGTACCATGGAGCTAAATCCCATCCCTGGCTCAATTTCTTATCCTATTAAACACTGCATTGGGGCCAGGGATTTAGCTCAGTGGTTCCGGAGCCTGCCTTGCTAGGACAAGTTCAATCCCCGGTGCCAAAAAAAAACAAACCACAAAACACTGCATTAATCTTGAGTTTCACGTTAAGTTTTAAATGACGAAGTGCAGTACTAGGTTAGATTTCCCAAAAGGACCATTTCATTTACTTTACTTTTAAGACACACACCAGATGCTTTAAGTGCTTTTATTGATTTTATTAGTATATCTAAATTCTGCAAAATGCTTTAAAGGTAACCAGTGTAGCAAGGTGCAGTGGTGCACACTTGTAATCCCAGCACTCTAGGAGGCTGAGGCAGGAAGATCTTAAATTCAAGCCCAGCCTAGGCAACTTAGGGAGACCCTACCTCAAAAAAAAAAAAATTAAAATTTAAAAGGACTCAGATGTACTTCAACATGACACAGCTAGATTTAATCTTCAGTACCACACCAAATAAATAAAAACAAACAAGAAAGTCAATGCCAAATCAATTTTCAGTGTTCCGTTGCAAATTTTACAATGTAGAACATTAATTTTGGGCCAACTGCCTTACTACAAGCACATTATATGCTACCCCATATACCTAAACTCTGATGCAAATCTTACAAACATACAAGTATTTAGGGTAAAGCAGGGGATCCAACTGTGTGACAAGTTCCACTTATTCATCATTATTACACATACTATTAATTCTAAACTCTGAAATCATCTGTTTTCCTATCCTCCTTTCCAAGGCTGGAAAAAAACGCTATACACACACAATCCCTAAGCCAAGAAAAGGTAAATTCTTCCTATTTAATCTAGATTCCACAGCTCACTATAATTAACTGTATCATGGACCATAGATTTTAAAAGTTCCCTCCTAGGCATCAGGCACTCGTGCAACTGGACAAAAACTCCATTATAGGGGAATCTCTGGTACCTCTAGGTAATTACTTGGTGTAACTTCACGTTAAAAAAAAATACTGACATAAAGTAGAAAAGGATGACTACATAGAACAAAATATCCTGGAATTATATATATCCTTTATATCTGCCATTTAAAAACACATTATCTAGTAGGCCAGGGATGTAGCTCAGTGGCTCCACGCCTGCCTGGCAAGCACAAAGTCCTGAGTTCAATTCATAGTACAAGAAAAAAAAACACCCAATTATCTAAAATGTCTTAAGATATGCCTATACAATCAAAAAGAAAATTATAGCTGCCAGCTACCTCAAAATACTCAAACCATGTACCAGTAAGAGCCCAAGAAATCCCCCATACAATTTCCTCACATCTGACGAGGCTGTGGAAAGACAGACAACAGGGTCTCGACATGTATTCCACTGGCCTCCAATTCAGCGATCCTCTTGCCTCAGCTTCCCAAGTGCTGTAACTACAGGCATGCACCACTAGACCCAGCTTGGAAATAAAAACTTTGGAAAGGACCTAGATATGAGACAACTTACTAAAACTGCATGATCTAGCCATTAGCAACCTATCAAAAATGAGCACTTGAAATAGGAGTAGCCAAAAGTCCTAGGTGCTGTTAACTGTAAAACACACCAAAAAACAAGTAATGGCCCACCTTCTACCCAGTTATTGAATCTAACCTTAGCTGACTATGCAATGCTTGGAATACCCACAGAGACAAAGAACACAAAACGACTGGGCCTCCTTTACTCCAGTCCTAAGGCCATACGAGGCAATGTTGACAATTTCTTACTAGGGATCCATATTCTTCTATTCTCATCTAAAAGTGGAAAAATTCCTGGCAGTTAATATTCTGGGATGGAAAAGTTTCTTTACCGTCTAAATAAAAGTTTCTTGTACTATTAAAAATACCACGTGATTATTGATCCTTGGGTGGTAAATATATTTCCTAACTCATCAAAACTCAAGCGAAGGAAATAAAAAATTAAAAGTATGACTGTTTCTAATTCTCTTTGAAGACCAGTACTACAAGCGAGAAAAACACCCTTCACCAGAAGGACTATTTGTCAACTTCTGGACACTCACAGAACATTTTGCAGTAACACACACTTATCTATCAACACACTACTTCATGCATACACTTACTACTTTCCATCTTTAAAAAAAATTTTTTTTTTGGTACCGGGGAATCAAACTCGGGTCCTTGTGCTTGCGCAGCAGGCGGCGAAACCACTGAGCTTTAAAAAATTTTTGATCACAATCCACTAGTGATTTCAAGACCCAAAGATACATTTTTAACCACTGGTTTAGTGCTCTTAATACTAATTCCAACTGTGTAGAAAATCACAATTTACAATTTACTATCTTAGCTATAAAAAAAAAGGCAGACAATAATGCAGTGTATACTGGCTCACACCTATCATCCCAGCACTGTGGGAGTCGGAGGTAAGAAGGCTACAAGTTTGAGCCCAGTGTGGGTACTTAGAAAGACCCTGTCTCAAAATACAAAAAAAATTATAAAGGGTTGAGGATGTAGCTCAGTTTGAACCCTGACACTCTCCAAGTATGAAATACTGTATATCAATCTCCAGACAACCCCCAGAGGTATGTGATATCTAGGGTGCCATACTCTAAACAAAAAAATGTCAATCGCTTCTTGGCCTTTTGACTAAGATCAAGTGTAAATGAAAAAATGTCTACTCAATGTTAAAAGAAAAAAACTCTTAAGGAATAATACTTGAGAACCACTTTCTACATCTTAAGCCAGTGATTTACAAACTTTCTCTTTGTGGTAACTGGACTGTTTTCTTTTCAGTACTAGGGATTAAACACTTTCCAGTACTCGGGATTTAGCACCGAGCTCCATTACATCTCCACCCCCACCCCCGCACACACCCACACTCCTTTTTGAACAGGGTGTTTCTAAATTGCCCAGACTGGAATTTGTGACCCTATTACCTCAAGCTGCCAGAGTGTTGGGATTACAGGCATGCACTACCATGCCTGGCTCCCCCCAAGGTTTTCATACTTGAAAATTCATGAGTCTCAAATTCAAGAGAACTGTGAGATGTGCGACCCAGAGCCTGTTTCAAAATAAATACCCTCTAGCTGTCACTGTCTCTACAACTATCACTTAAATTTTTTTCCTCCACACCAACTCTACTGCACCGAAGTGCCAAGTTTTAAAATACCTTTTAGTCATAATTGTATTTAAATGTTATGATGTTTGTTATTTTCTGAAAGTTCTTACATCTCAAATATTCTAAACAATTGTAACAATCGCCCCAAAATTCAACTTCCAAGCTGTTACTTTAAGCGCACATATTCCCTGACTACACAAAAAACTGGACTGTCACACAGCAGAAAAATCTAGGCGAAAAAATTGAGTGTTCTGGACGACATATAAATTTATACTGATACCTACACTCAGAAATTAAATTTTCTCATATCGCAGGATTTTCGGCCAACAAAAATAAATGCATAAGAACGCTAAATGGTATTTCAGCTTTAGGACCTGAGTGTCAAAAAGCAAGATTTCACCAGTAAAGTTTAAAATAAACTACTGGTTTACTTCAAGATTTTAGCACTGTTTGTTTCTAAGGTCATTTTCCCACCTACCAACCGTTTCATAATTTAAATCAATTTTTTTAAATAGAAAAGTTGAACGAGAAGTAAAATACACACCATCACCTCAGCCACCGAACCCACTATAAAAAGTTGTAGAACGTAGGGCACTGCTGGCCAAGGACACAAAGGTTACCACACTGCTGTACTAGAGCACGTTAAAGGAAGTTTACTAGCTAGCCTTTGGAGAGGCCCTGGGTTCCAAGAGTTTGCAGCCATCCAGTCAAAAGCCAGCGTTGTTTCCGGCGACACCAAGCCGCAAATCTCCAACCCCACGCTCCTGGATACAACTTCCTCCCGCTCTTGCTCCCCTCCCCCTCACCAAGGACGGCCGCCGAAGCGGATCTCCAGCCGCAGCAGCTGCTCCAGAATTGGAGGCTGCTCTTGGCCGAGCCTAGCAGAGGCAAGGATCCAGCCCCGGCTCTCCCGCCCTCACCGCCCGCGCCTTCCCGCTCCAGCCCTCCCCCAGCACTTCCTACCTTCCCTCCATCCCAACCCCCCAGACCAAGGTCTCCTCGCCCCACAAACCTGGTAGCGGAAGTGACGTCACAAACCCCTGCAGCACTCGGAGCCAATCACACTGCAGCGGGAGGAGGTGCCGGCCAACGAGCGCGGGCCAGAGGGTGGGACTTCCGCCCGCCCCAAGTTTGATTGAAGCAGGGGGAGGGGTGAGATAAGGAATGTGGAGAATGACCCCCCCCTCCCCCGCCCGGTCGGTGAAGAGCTGGGCGGGAAGCGGAGGGGGCTGGGGCAGGACCGCCACAGCCACGCGGCACCCTTCCCCCGCCCGCGTCTCGGGAGGCTGCAGTCTCCGCTAACCGCACACCCAGAGCCAGCCCCTGCTGGAGGAGGCATGGCCGCCCCAAGGGTCCCAGGCCACGCCAGGTCGGCCTACAACTCTTCCGTCCTGCCGCTCGCCGCCCGAGGTCTCAAGTAGAGAAAATGGCGACGGCCCAGCACTCGCCTTCGCTCCCGCCGTACCCACCTCAGACTCGCAAAGACCGACCCTTGCCGCTGTCACCGCCGCAAAGATGGCACGTCCCTCACGCCTGCTGCCGCTGGCCGCCACGCACGGAGAGCAGCGCGCCAAGACCCGGATGCAGGCGCGGGCGGGCGCCGCCGCGGCGGCCAGGGGCAAGGCAACGCGGGAGCCAGGAGGCTGAGGCGGGGGCGGACGCCGCGAAAAGCGCGAGACCCTATTGGTGGAGCCTTCTGATTGACGTACATGTCATCCTTTCGCCTTAGCCGAGCCTAGTTCGTCCGTACTCTACTGGAAGGCGGTGGCTGAGTCCGCCCTGTTCTGGGCGGTAGCCGTGGAGGCGGACCTGGCCCGCCCACCCTGACTAGCTCTCCTTCTCCTATTGGGGACCAGAGAGAGTGGCGAGGGCGGTGTCCTCAGGGGCCGCCCTCCGAGTGTGAAGGCTAGGCTTTGGCCCTTAGGGTGGAAGGGCTGCTGGCCTGGTCTGGGGCTCTCGACACTGGCGCTCCACAAGGTTTTTGCTCAGCCTGTAAGTCCCCTTCAGCAGCCACTGAGACCTTTTCTGCAAGCCCTCTGTCGCTGCCTTAGTTTTCCCATCTGTCAAATGAAGTATGCCCAACATCTTTTAAACCTTTACATTTTTTCCCATTAACATGTAGGGGATTTTTTTTGTCTTCAAATGTTTTTCAAAGCTATCCTTAATTTTTCCTATTTTGAGATTAATCTAAAATAGTTCTTCCATTCTTGTTACAACTTTTCATAAGAAGACTCCAGAAATCACTGAAGTGCCCTTTAAGGTCTCTGCCAGCTTAGATTCAATGGTTGTTAGTTCTACAGTAGTACTGATTCTGGTATGATATAGGAGAAACAAATGTAACTCCCAACCTGTTAGATGTCTGATATGCCGAGGTCGTGTTTTCTAAAATCGAAGAATGAATTTTAGGAAATACAGGTTAAGAGTAGGAAATATTTATTGAGGAATAGAGAGTTCCTACCTGAGAGTGACAGGAGGAGACCCAGAAAGTAGGTTGCCACGGACTCTGCTTACAGGGGAGGCTTTATAGATCAAAATCAAGAGGTGGGTAAGAAATGAGATGGGTATAAGGTGGGACAAAACTATAGTTAACTAATAAGATTGTGGGGACGGGGATTTCGCTCAGTGTCACCCCACCTGCCTCACAAGCACAAGGTCCTGAGTTCGATCCCCAGTACGGAAAAAAGGAATAAATAAATAAATAAATAAACCTAATAAGATCGCAAGTATAATCATTTAGGTAATATTGATCTAATGGAAAATTACAAGGTGGGTATAAGGTGGGATAAAACTATAGTCAACTAATAAAATTATAAGTATAGTCCTCGCAAGCGCAAGGTCCCGAGTTCAATCCCTGGTACCAAAAAAATATATATATAAGTATAGTGGCTTAGGTAATATTAATCTAATGGGGAAACAACTCACGTAAAAACATAGACCCTTCCTAAAAGAGATGGCTTAGAGGGCCGGGGATTTAGCTCAGTGGTGACATGCTTGCTTCCCAAGCAAAAGGTTCGATCCCCGGTACCAAAAAAAAAAAGAGAGAGAAAGAGATGGCTCAGAGACCTTTCCTAGAAGGGATGGGTCGAGGTCTTGGACCCCAACCAGATAACTGATGCCTATTTAAAATATTAATTATTACTGTTTATCTCTGGAGAAGTAAGCATAGTCATTTTATCTTTGTCGGGAAGTCTGACCTTTAACAAATGTGCTCCTACCCGCTATATTTGTTCCTTTTATACTGGCTTCTTTGAAGGCTATAATATTTCTGACTAACTATAATATTTTTAACTAACTTAACTGTCTATAATAGTACCTGGGTGCTACCTGTTTTTACCTGTTCACTATAGCTTTGTGCACAACACTTCAATCAACAAAAAGAAAACTTGAGCACTCATCTGTAACAGAACCAGGGGAAATAGCACTTTGCATTTAGCAATGTATTTATGTTTATGACCTCAGGTGGTGGTTGCTACCTAGTATCAGCTATCCTTTTAGCATTTATATTAGTATACCCAATAAAAGCAAAGGAATTGGGAATGTAGTCTCAGCTCCTTTGAAATTTATTGTAGTCCAAAGTGAACAAGCAACTGGAGAAGAAAAATAAGCTCAGGCTTGAAGGATGGGTAAGATTTAAGGAGGCTTTCACTACACATGAGAAAGATGTATTGGGAAAAGAGAGAACAGGTCCACTGAACTATTTGCAGTTGTGCTGTAGAGGGCATGGAACTCCCAAAGCCAAAGACTGTTGTTTGTGTCTATTCCACCTAGCACAGTAGTACAGTGATATTAAATGGAATATGATGACAATGATAGACACTAGGTGGGAAGAAGGTCCTAACAAAGAAATCGGGGTGTTATTAAGTATGAGTTAAGAGGTATTATGTTCCTCAGTTACATAGCAGAGGCTGGTAGGTCAATATGTTGTAGAAGAAATTTATGGTAAGAAGCCTTACAGCACCATGAGACTTTCTAATATTTTCTTAACATGGTTGTCAGAAAGTTCTGGTACATTTCGAAAAGTGCATATGATATATGTTACCCTTTGGCTTCCTATTCATACTTCATTTTTCTACCCTTGAAGGCCAACAAAATAATTCCAAAGTGGAATCCATATGAAAAGGATCAATAGATTTGACCATATAAATGCAAAGTGAGTATTAAACATAAGTATAGTGGCTTAGGTAATACTAAGTTAAAAGACATGTCTATGGCCATACCACCCTAAATGCACTCAATCTTATCTGAAGTTAAAAAACAAATGATAATTGGAAAAACGGTTTCTAAAATATTAATTAGAATGTCTAATTAATGTTAATTAGAATGTCTAGTGGTTAAAAGACAAAATCTGGAACTAGACTGCTGAGATTCAATTCCAGTTTGGCTTCTTTCCAGCTACACAACTATAGAATACTGGGCAAACTGAATATCTTTTATGTGCCTCAGAGTCTTCAACAAAATGGGGATTATAACAACACTTACCTGGAGGACTATTGAAAGGTTTAAATGAGTAAACAACTACTTAGAACAGTGCCTGGTACATAAAAGCACTATGTAAGAGTTTGCTAATATGTTGTACTTTTTTATATTTATATTTTTTGGTACCAGGGATTGAACTTGGGACCTTACGCTTGCAAGGCAGGCAGCAGCACCACTGAGCTAGATCCCCAGCCCTAATATATTGTACTTAATATAAAAAATAGATTTCCCTCAAATCAATAGGAATAAAATGGATATTAAAATATAAATGAAAGATATGAACTGGCAATTCACAAAAGAGGAGATGAAAATGGCCAAGAAACATGAAAAGATGCTCATGCTCATTAGAAATCAGATGCATACACATTTTTAAAAAACAATCTTTCTCATTTCATAGTCGATCAGTGGCACTGTAGAAGGCAGGAGGCAAGTGTATAAATTTATACAATTAGGGGACAGTTTGGCAGCAGGAATCAGAATCTTCCGAAAGTGTATATCTGTGTTAGTGTGCTGTTACTGTGACAAAATACCTGAAAAGTAAACTTAAAGGAAAGGAAGGTTTATTTTGACTCACAGTTTCAGTGCAAGGTTGGCTGGTTCCATTGCACTGGGTCTGAAGTGCGGCATAACCTCATGGTGGAAGGGGATGGCAGAGGAAAGCTGCTTACCTTCTGGAAGCCAGACAGTAGACAAAGCAAGAGAGCCAGAAAAGAAAGGACTGGAGGCCAGATGAAGTCCCCAAGTTCACGTCCTCATGATCCACTTCTTTCAATTAGGTTCCACCTCCATTTCCATCACCTCCCAATAATCCTATCACTTATAATTTTATCAATGGATTAATCCACTTATGAAGTTAGAGCCCTCATGATCCAATCACCTTGTGAAAGCAGCAGTTCACCTTAAGAACACAGCAGCTTTTGGGGGCACGTTTTTTAACTAAAGGGTAACAATTTTTTTAATCCAACAGTTATCCACTGCAAGGAATTTATACTTAGAAAATAACAGAAATGGACAAAGATTCCTCCAAAGACTGTTCATCATTTATTTATAATCACTGCAGATTACACCCATCTCCCAGTTCATCATAGGTGATTCTATAAATTATGGTCCAAACATGCCATGAAAACTATAATAATAATAATGCAGATCTGTATTTGATACAAGAAAAATTATTAGAGTATATTGTTAAATTAAAAAATTACAAAAAATATGTATGATATGATCCCATATACCTTAGTGTGTGTGTGTCTGTTACTGGAGTTCCAACCCAGTGGCTCATACATGCTAGGCAAATGTTCTGAATTACTCATGATTCTAATTGTCCTTATATATTTCTAGATTCCTGGCAATATATATTGATTTCATAATCAGGAAAAAACATACATATAACAGCTATGCCAGAGACTATTAGTTGTTCTCCAATATCCATTGTCTTCTTTTTTTCTATTATAAACAGAAATCTGGTTCATAGGTGACTACAGACCTCAACTGTCCCCTGAATGAAGCCATGTGACTAAGATTTGGCTGGTGAGATGGCAGTGGATAGATGGCTGAGCTTTCTGGGTTCTGCCATTCAAGAGAAGGATTTACCCTTTATGTGAAGGGGGAGTCAGGCCCAAGAGAAAATAGGAATCAGCTGATGCAGAAGCAGCTGGCTGGACTCAGGAAGTAGGTGGAGATGCTGAATCCTAATACCAGTATATCGGTCAATGCTTACTAGAGAAAAAGACTTAATGCAAGATATACAAATATGTAATAATTTACAAGATTGTCTTACAGTTGGTGCTGGGTGTGGAAGAGTGCAAAAGGTCTGTTGGCGCGCTGGAGATCTGAAAGGTCCAGTTGAAGGCCTGGAGCTCACAGTAGTGTCCTGTGTAAGTCTGTATGAAGAGGCTGAAGGGTCTGCCATTGAAGGCTGTAGGATCTGTGATGGAAGCCAAGAGATGATGTCCAAGGTGAAGATGAAGACTGGAGCTCCTCTGAAGAAACAGAAAGGAGCCTTCCTTCTTTCTTTTATACCATTTAGGCAATAAGCCTCTGTAGGGTGGATCTTTTGTCTTCAAGAAATCCCCTCACTCACACCTAGAACTATGCTGATCCAATTTAGTTGCACATTTATTACTCAAGTTGACACAATTAACCACTATCACAATCCATCCCTTGTCAATTTGACAAGAGATACGTTTCCTTAAACCATAATCTCTAGATACAAGACAGGTTCATACTTGCACCTAACATGTTATAACTATCCTGCCTACAAATGGAAGCACACTAATTCCTTCCCCAGAATAGAAGGCAAGTTTTCTTTGGGTGATATTTAGTCATAAAATTTCAAAACTTGGACATTATAAAACAGGTTTCACAATACTTAAAAATCAATATTAAGTATCAATATTATATCACATAGGAAGCTTATTGGAAAAGAACTATTACAATTATAATCTTTGTTTCTATAGCTGATTATGGAGTCATCACTGGTATTTACGTTCTACTACCATTCTGTAGTCCCTTGGCTTTTAGCAAGCACCTCAGCAGGTCTTAGTTCTTTCTTGTTGGAGTGATCCATACCTTCATTCCTGAAGGTTCCAGACCATTTGTCATCCTGCATGGATTGGGTTGTTGTAGTTACCCACTGACTTTAATAATGTCATGAATATACTCTAAGTATATTCTTCCTTTCCTTCACTGTGGGATAATACTCCAATTTCCTCTTGATAGCCTGGATCAATTACCCCTGCCAGCACTGTAACTCCCTTTTTAGCTTGTTTCCTTAGAGGCATGAGGAGACCAAAATGACCAGGGAAAGTCTTAGCTTCCAGTTCAATGGTATCATTGTTTGCTTCCTGGTACAAGCCTTCCTCTCTCCGGAACTAAGGCTTCTAAGACAGCAGAACATAAGGTCATGGGAACAGGAAGCAAAAATTTTGCTAGTGGATCACTAAGGGTAATGGTAACTGGTACCATTCCCACTTCCACCCCTTGATTCCTGGATCCGTGAATCCTGGCTATGGGAGACACAGTACCTTATAATGGATGCTGATTCAAAGCATAGACAGAACAGCCTCTTAAAGAACCTTACTCCAGCCCTGCAAGCTATTTCCAGTTAGCTGGCACTGTAACTGTGTCTTCAAAAGATCATTCCACCTTTCTTTCAATCCAGCTGCTTCTGG